TGGATGACAGAAAAGTGGGTGAAGGAAGACATCGGTCAGTGTAAGACATGAAAAAATAATTTATAAATTATCAAGGGTTGGTGAGGGAGGGAGGGTGGGGTGGGGAGTGGAGAAATGAGGAGCTGATACCAAGCGCTCAAGAAGAAAGCAAATGTTTTGAAAATGATGGAAACAAATGTACAAATGTGCTTGACACGATGGATGGATGGATGGTGATGAGTTGTACGAGCCCCCAATAAAATGATTTCAATAAATAAATAAATGAAATTTCGGTAGCTGTTCTCCTGATCATACTACAGCCTAAAGTACACTTAGCCACAAATTCAGAGGTCTCTTCAGGTGGCCTGTTTTATCTCTGCTAAGCTACCCTAAACCAATTGCCACCCAAGCTCCAAAGTTAAAATACCCCACTCACCAGCCAGCCAGAGAACTGAGCAGCTGCCTTGGTCAGCATAAAAACCTTCAAAGTGGGAATGGCTTCTGCCCTCCCCACAGGCGAGCCAAGTTCTGCAGTTCGCAGTTCGAAGGAAGCAATTGTGCCCTTTGGCGTGAGCGGGGTTGGGAGCCCTCAGGAAAGGGGACCCGCTGGTCAGTCTTAAAGCAAAGCAAAGCTTGTTTTAGCAGCAAAAGCTTACTCTGGCAATCTGTATTAAATGCTACTAATTAAGCCGTCTTTGGTTCACGATCTGAATGAATTGTCTTTACTTTTATTCCAGTCTTTGTTTTGTTTCTTTGTTGAAAATATACGCCCTCCCTAGAACCCGCTCCCACTCCACCATTTCTAGATCTAATGATCCCAGTTTTCACTGTGTAGCCCTGGCTTCAAGAAATGTTCATTTGTAATCTAAACAGGTGGTAAGCATTTCATATACTACAGAGAGCAAATAAAAATCGCCTCTCTACAGCTTCCTGTTTTGTTTTGTAGGTGCAAACACTTGACATGTTTGTGTAACTGCAGAAAATGTGTATAAACCATACACAAATGGTCACACTAATATATACGTATAATTGGGCCTCTTGCTTTATTCAGATCCGCGCTAGTCTTTTCCCTGGCTGCAAAGTATTAGCTGTATAGCTATGCTACTATATTATGAATCGCTCATTGGCAGTCTTTACAGTGGTGCTATTTGGGGCGAGTCCCTTGTAGATGTGTCATGGCCGATTTGTGAGTGTTCTCCACAAATTCCTGTAAGTAGATTGGCTGGTCAGTGGGTATGTGTTTGGGGCATTTTATAGACTATGGCTCTCACATTGGTGTCCAGAAAGTTTGCACTGATTTATACTCAGTGGATTGACACAGTGGCTGCAGCAATGGCCTCGGACGTGACAGCAGTGTTTTATTCTGCTGTGCCTAGGGTCACTGTGAGTCAGAACCAAGTCGATGGCGCCCAACAACAGCTGCAAGTGCCTGTTCTCTCCCAGCTGCGCTGCCGCCGGGTCGTTTCTAAGCTGATATTGGCAGACTAATAAATAAGGAGCCTGAGTGGCTCAGTGGTTACGCACGTGGCTGCTAATCAAAATGCCAGAGGTTCAAACCCACCCATTGCTCCCCAGGCTAAAGGCCTGGCAGTCTCCTTCTGTGAAGACTGCAATGTGGAGCTCCTGCAGGGCACTTCTACTCTTTCGTAGGGTTGCTATGAAATGGAATTCACTTGATGGCAAAAGGTTTGGTTTACTGTAATAAGCTAAGTGTTGGCTTAATCGTTTTGATTTCCTTTATTGTGCATGAGGAAGAACATAGATTTGTCTTAAAATAAATACTTATTGGTTGATTCTTTGCTGAAAAATGAAAGATACATTATTTTTCCCATTAAAGCACTTGCATTACACATTCCTTACAAAGTTGGTGTTCTTTTTCTGGGAAGTCGTTTTCAGAAATTGTGTAGTAAGTGAAAATGAAATCCACCCTCCTTCCCACCTCCCTTTCAGAAGATCAAGTTTTCTTTGTGTTTTTTCTCTTTCTACCTCGGCTGCCTGGCGTTGAACTAGTATTGGAGGCGTATCCTCTGCCTGCGCACTTTGTCAAGGTCTTCTGCAATCGACTTGATCATCTGATCCGTAGTTTTTTTCAGAACGGTGGCCGTCCGGAGAGCGTGATCCAGAGCTGAGTTTAGGGTCTACAGAGGAAAAGACGGCACATTTTAGTTCCATACGCCGCATCGCTCTTTCTGTTTGTTGCGTTCTCTCCTCAGTGAAACACTGCGAGGTGGGGCTCTGGAAGTATTCCCTTTCCATGCAGTCTATTTCTGTTTTTGAGGGCTGGTTTCCTAGGAAACTGCCCTGGCCTGGAATATATGTGCTTAGGAAAAAGACCGGCATGTGACTGGGGAGCTGAATCAGGGTGGCAGCTGGGTTTTACCTCCTGCTGTGAGGAGAAGGCGAGCTGGAGGGTGGGGCCACCAGAGGGAATTGAGGGGCCAGAGAGAGGGCACCCCAGGGCTGCAGCACGTGTGCATTTGCATGAAGTTTTTGAAAGAGGCCTGGAGACTGGTTACTGGTTTGCAAAAAAGAGCCTGCTGGAGGGGACCCGGCTCTGACCACCATGTCATTGGATCAGAATTGTGACCACAGCCCAGGACAGACTCCAAGCTGGGAGCTCAGCCAATCATTTGGCCCAGGGGGAAAAGCCTCATCAAAACGTTTTCTCGGTGAGTTTCCCAGGGGAACTAGCTTAGGAAGAGTTAGGTTGGAGCTGAGCACAGAATTGTTTGCAGCAGAGCAGTCTCTTCCAGCCCACCGTAGTCACTCAACTCGGTCATTGAGTCGGTGCCTACTCATGGTGATCCTGTCGGGCAGCGTAGAACTGCCCTGTGAGTTTCTGAGACCGTGCCTCTTTGTGGGGCTAGAAAGGCCCGCCTTTCTCCTTCAGGGTGGCTGGTGGTTTCAAACTGCTGGTCTTTGCGATTCCCAGCCCAACACATAACTACTACACCAGCGATCCCCGCTGCTCACTATAGTAACTTCAAAGTTATCAGTGCTGTGGTCGAGAACACTAATGAATTTCCGATCCCCCCCTCTCCCCCCATCATAAAGGCTCACCTCAAATTCCATTTTGTCAACCCTCTGAAAGTCGCAGAAGGATTTGCTGCCGTAACCCCTCCAGTCCTGGGCGCAGGGCGAGGGTGCAGGCTCCTCTGCGCGGTAGGAGGGCAGCACCTGCAGATCCCTGCTGGGAGGGAAAGCACAGGGGCAATGAGTCGGCTCTGTGCTTCCGGACCGCCCCTGCGTGTTGAAGCAAGGCCCCCGTCCCTATGGTCCTGTTGTCGCTGATGACCGCGCAGCTTCCGCAGGAGTTGTGCTGCCCTAACCTTGAAGGATGTTTCCTCTGGGGATCTTGCGTCTTTTCCTTTGCTATGGAGAAAGGCAAAACTCCAGAGGGATTTTTGATTCTTTGGGGGCCAACCTTCTTGTCCCTGAATTTTATAAAACACGCGCACACACACACATACATACAACTTTGCAGGCGCCGTGCATGTGTGTTGGGCTCGTTCTGGCACCAGTGGGCTGACGTGGCCGGAAGGCGGCCGCAGCAGGAACGTGACCGCCGGGGCTGGTCCCAGGGTGCCCACTGGGTGTCCTTGTTCCGGCTGTGCAGGGCGCAGCTCTGGGAGGGGTCATTCGGCCGATCTGAAGGGCGTTCGGTGGAGGGATACTTTGCCCAATCACCAATCCTTGGGCCGCTCCAGGGGGGCACAAGGACTTGCCTGCCTGCAGATCTGCCATGGACGCCTCCGGCCCCATGCGAAGTCTTCACAGAACACTTGGGAGGGGTGCCGGCGCCAGAAAAGCTCCATGCCAACACTCGCGACCTCAGAACCTCCCAGCGTGCCTCGCCCCCAGCGCGTGAACTTGGGTTGGTTGCGCAGGCCGAGTTCCCGCGATGGAGAGGGACTCAGCAGCTGGCATGCCTACGTCCAGGGAGATGCCGGACAGGGCAGGGCAGCGCCTGGGGCCCGGAGTCCTCCGTCGGCCCCACAGCCACCCCTGGAAACCAAACCCATCCGTGGGGTCAACCGGACTCACGGCCACCCTGCACGGCGCTCGGAGCCGCACCCTGGGGTGTCCAAGGTAGTGGTCTTCGTGAGGCAGACTGGCTCATCGTTCTCGTGTGGAGCCGCTGGTCGGTTCCCAGGGCCCCCCTTTCAGTGCGCAGCCTAAGGCTTGATCAAACAGTCTCATCTTTCTCCTGAGGAGCAGCTTCAGGGGTTGAACCACCAACCTTGTGGTGAGCAGTCCAGTGCCTAATCCACAGCCCCACCTCGGCTCCTTTTGGTATTATTGCCGTCAGGTGCCGTCGGGTCAGTTCCGATCCAGGGCACCTTGCACAGAACAGCAGGACCCTGCCTGGTCCCACACTGTCCTCCCACTGAGGTTATGCCAGAGCCCTGGCTGCAGCCATGTCGTTGGTCAGTTCGTCTCCTCTCCACTGACGCTCCACTCCACTAAGCAGGACGCCCTTTTCCAGGGACTGGTCTCTTCTGACAACTTTGGTTAGCATCAGAAATAATAAAGCAACACTTACTTCTCTGGCGTGGGTTCATGTTCATCCTGAGGGAACTTCACGTCTGTTCTCTGGGAATTGATCCCTGTGAGTTTTGAATAGGCTGAAATATGGAAACAATGATTATACTCAGAGCATCAAATCTTATCCTAATTTAATATCCAGAATATAGGAAGGACTGGGAAAGGCGGCAACAGAAACCCAAGTCTCCCAGTCCGACCATGGGCACAGGGCTTGAGTAAAGATCTCACCAGAGGATATCCAAATGGCCACCAAGCTCATGAAACGATGGTTGATATTATGAGTCTCTACCCAAACCCCAACCTGTTCCATCGGGTCCATTTAGACTCATAGGGCAGGGGAGAACTGGCCCGGGGGTTCCAGTGCGGTACTGTTTATGGTAGCAGGCTGTCACTTCTCTCACACACAAAGCAGCTGGTGGATTCAAATCACTCACCTTTCTGTTACCAGCTGAGGGCTTAGCAACTGAACCACCAGGGATCCTCGTCAGTCATTCAACCGAAAGACCAACCCATGGCCATCAAGTCTATTTCAACTCACAGTGACCTTCTACTGGGTTTCTGAAACTAAATCTTCATGAGAGCAATCCGTCTCATCTTTGGCCCACACATGGAATAGCTGATGGGTTTGAACCGCCAACCTTGCAGCTAGCTGCCTGACGCCAAACTGACCATGCCACCAGGGCTCCTAAGTCACACCAAACCAAACTCACTACTATGGAGTCAGTGTTGACTCATAGTAACTCCAACAAGGTAGAACTGCACCTGTGGGTTTCTGAGACAGTAACTCTTCATAGGAGTAGAAAGCCTCATCTTTCTCCCTCAAAGCTGACTGGTGGTTTTGAACTGCTGACCTTGTGGTTAGCAGACCTGTAAATAACCACTATCCTACCAGGGCTCCTCCTAAGGGAATGCAAACCAAAACCACGATGCAATACCACTTCACCCTCTCTAGAATGGCTACTAAATCAAAGCAAAACAAAAACAAACAAGCCGATGTGGTAGAGGGAGCGGAGAGATTGGAACTCTTATCCATTTCTGGTAGACAAGCAAAATAGTACAGTGGCTATGGAAAACTTTGACTGTTTCGCAAATAGTTAATCATGCAACTACCTTAGGTCCCAGGAGCCTGGGTGACGTAGTGATTATGAATCAGACTGTTATCCTCAACATCTGCAGTTTGAAACAGAGAAAGATGAGGCTTTCTATTCCTGTAAAGAGTTAGTCTCAGAAACCCACAGGAGCAGTTCTACGCTGTCCTATCGGTTTGCTATGAATCAGAATCGACTTGATAGGAGTGTCCTCTAGATCCCAATCCCACGTCTATGCCCCCAAACAGCAACTCATATACCAGTGTGCATGGCAGCACTCCTCAAAAGGTGCGAACCTAATGAGCAGCTTCAGAGAATTGGATACCCAAATGTCTCTCTCTCTCTCTCTCTCACACACACACACACACACACACAGGACTATTCATCAGTCACAAAGGGAGAAAGAAGTCTTGATCCATGCTCTTACCCAAGCCCGTTGCCACCTTCTCAGCCTCGTCGGGCAGAGGACTGCCTCTGAGGGTTCCCAAGCTGTCATCTTTGGCAGTGGACCACCACTTTTTCTCCCTCAAAGCAGCTGGCAGCTTCAAACTGCTGACCTTTGGGTTGGCACCCACGTGCTAAACTATTCTGTCATCAGGCCTCCTTGATGCATGCCACAACAGGAAAACAGGCTGAGTCAAACAAGTCTGTCCTGAAAGGACAAATACTGGATGACCCCACGTTCTGTTTCAACTCATCAAGCGCAATCCCCTCCCCGCCCTGCAGCTGCTACTGCTCTCCCCTGTGCGCCCCGCTGCCATTTCCTCTCCTTTCCCAACCGCTGATGGGTGTTCTTGGGAACGTGCTGCCCCTTTGATGGTGAATCGCTGATTGTTCCACCGCAGGCAGTTCAGACCTGAAGGGTCGCTAGGGTCATCGTCTGGGGGCTCCCACCTGTCTCTATCCGATCAGTGACACATCTTTTGTTATACGTATTTTTATCATAATGGAAAAATAGCTAGTGATTCCCCCCAAATGGGGGTGTCATTTTCCAGAACTTTACTGTGTGAATGGGATATTTTGTAATTTTTTTGAACAAGAAAAGGAGCATAGAAAGAAAGAGGATTACACAAAGTGCTCTGAATTCAGGAAAAGAAACTCAACTTCAAGAAAGTTACACCAGCAGACAAGACAAGACAGGAGTCTGGGTTCCCGGCGTGCTAACCACGTGACCGGGCCTGCCGCCGGTGACCTTCTCTGGGCTCAACTCTTTCATCTGAAAAGGGCAGGCCGTAACCTCTCCCTGGAGACCCAGCCAATGGCTGCTTCCAGAGGGCCTCTCCCCCTGGGGAGAGGATTCCTGGATTCTAGGAGTCATAGCTAGCAATTCTGTCACCAGGAGGATGCCAGAAATGCAAGAGGCTCAGAGCTCCCTCGCAGACCCCGGGGCCTCTCACCTCGATTGAAGCTCTCGCCACAATTGACCTAGAACAGGGGCCAGCAAACTTTTGAGACAGAAGAGCCAAACCTGTCCCTCACAACAATTTAAAAATTATTTGAAAAGGAAGTAACCATTATCTGAATAGTGCCCTTTAATATTGTTCAATTGTACTTCAGAACTACATATATGCACCGACAGAGCTGCATAAAGCTGCCGTTTGCCCACTCCTGGGCTAGAATGTCTCTCCATAAATGGTGAACTCCCTGGGTAAGAGGGGTCGAGTCTTAGGCACCTTTGTAAATAGATTTTTGCCAACCTTTCATTCTCTTCCCAAAGACATTTTTTTTAACCGATCGTTCAAGCAGCATACTGCTGTTTGGGGCTGACACATTGCTGACAGCCGCGCCAGGTGACAGCAAAGCTGCCCTGCTGGGTTTCCTGGCTTGTCCTATGCCTGCAGGCAGACCTCCAGTTCTCCCCACTGTGCGGTAGCAGAGTGGCTTCCAACTTTGGTTAGCCACCGAGTGCTTAACTGTGGTGCCACTAGGACACTTTTTAAATAGTTTTGAGAAGCCTGTTTCTGCACATGCTGACTTTGAGTGGGGAGAGATTTCTGAATCCCAGCCTGGATAGTGGGGACTGCCCAGTCAGGCTGCCATGTAGTCTGCAGCCACTGTGTTCCCTACCAGCTCCCACAGGACTTGGCATAAGCAACGGAGGCCTCCCACTCTAGGACTTTGAGGTGTTATATGTTGGGCTGCTAACCTCAAGGTCAGCAGTTCGAAACCACCACCTCTCCATGGGAGAACGATGAGGCTTTTTACTCTGGTACGGATTTCAGCCTCAGAAACCCACTGGGCAGCTCTCCTCTGTCCCACATGGTCACGCTAAGTCAGCAATGAGTTGAGGTAAGGGCAGCCTCTTGCCATCCCTGTGCCGCGCTGGGTGTGGACGTGTCCCTGTAAGGGAGCGCTGGAGACTTGAGAAGTAGACTGGGGGGTGGGCAGGGGCAACCCCATGGGAAGCAGTAGCCAGTGTACTGTGAGGCTGCTGATGCAAACGGGATCACGCAGGGAAGGTCCATACGAAGGGAATGTTCTCCTCTAAAGAGGGAGCTGAACAGAACATCTTTTACTCTAAGTCATCCTATGCTGGGTGTTTCTTCTAGAACAAAAATGTCCAAAGATAAGATAAAGAAGCCACGGCTGGTGGCCTGGGAGCAGCAGCAAGACCCACTGCCACCTGCTTCCTAAGGCTCCTAGTGGCTCACCTTTAGGCGGGGCTTCACGGCTGACTCTTCGGGAGGGAGGAGTGTTGGCGCCACAGTTCTCACATTTATTTCTCTGCAGCCCCATGCCGGAGTCAGAACAGGAGCTGTCTCCTGCATCCGAACCTGGAAGAGCCCAAGTGACACAAAGGGAGGGTGAGCTTCCCAGACACAGGTGTGGTGTGGACGGCAGAGCCCTGGCTGGGCCAGGGACACACTAGGCCCAAAGTACCAGGTCCCCAGGCTGGGAGTCCCAGGAGCGGCAGGGGAGATGCTTAGGAGCAGACCTGACAAGGAAGTCTCAAGGTGTGCCTAACCGGTAAAACCAAAAGGGGACAGCCATTGAGAGGACTCTGATTCAGGGAGACCCCTTCTGGGCCGTGGTAGTACTGCACTCCATGCGGTTTTCCAGGGCGGCGGTCCTTCAGAAGAGTCCTGGCCGCATACTAGTTACATGGTGAGCACCTGACCTCAAGGTCGGCAGTTCAAAACCACCAGCACCAGTCCCTCCGAGAGAGAGAGAGAGAGAGAGAGAGAGAGAGAGAGAGAAGGTTTTCTATTCTCATAAAGAGTTAGTCTTGGAAACCCACCGGGGCAATTTTGTCCTGTCCTATAGGGTTGCTATAAGTCAGAGCAGTGTTTGATTTGGTTTTCCGTGGTCCTTCAGAACCAGATTGCCAGGTATTTCTTCTGAGGTACTTCAGAGAGGACTCACACCACCGTCCTCTTGGTTAGCAGCTGAGCACACAACCGTTTGTGCCACCCAGGGACTCCTTGTCTCTCTCAGACCAAACCTCCACCCTTGAGTCAATGCTGACTCATGGAGAGCCCTGGAGCTTGTGAGGCTGTAACTATTTATAGGAGGAGAAAACCCGGTCGTTCTCCCTAGGAGCTGATGGTGGTTTCAAACCATCGAGCGTGCAGATCTCATCCCAATGCATGCCACAACCCCAGGGCTGGGCCTGTTTAGCACATACCAGAAACTCCAAGCCATCTAGGTGAGTGCAGCAGACAGCGGCCCTGGGGCGGAATAGAACTGCCCCAGGGGGTTCTCAGGCTGTTGGCGTGAAGGCTTCAGACTGACTGCCACGGCTTTCTCCCATGGAGCCGTTGGGGGGTTGCAGTTCCCACCTTCTCTTGGCAGGAGAGTGCTCTAACCACTGTGCCACCAGCACTCCTCTGCCGGGCACACCCCGGTGTTCAGCTAAGGTCCGAATGGATGTGGGAGAGCATCTGAGAACATTGTGTTTGTGGTTGTCTTTCCAGATTTGCCCCGACATCCTCATTCTTTGTCTCCAAACCTGCTGGGGCTGAGCTTGTGTTTTGTCAGGCGGGCGAGTGACTGGAAAGCCAGTTTCTCCTCCGGGAAATCCATAAGCTCTGTGAAGCTCCTCGCTGTGGTCGGGCGCACGGGCAGACTGTGGACAGTGTCACACAGGCACAGGAGCGGGGCTCAGGCAGGGGCACACGGGAGTCCCGATGTCCAAGCAGCATCTCAGTGCCAGGCAAGGTGCAGCCAGGGAACCAACCTTCTCCCCACCTTCCTGCCGTGGTGCATCCCCAGCTGCACTCAGTTTCAACATTCTCTTCCAAAGTATAAATCAGGGCATGAACTTTAGGGAGACTCCTCCTTCAAATCCCACTCCGTCACCTGGCCTTGAGGGCTTTCTCAATGTAACCCTGAGGAAAAGCCAGCAACAGACAGGGGACCCGCCTGAGGGGGCGCCGTGAACCACAGAAAGATCTGGAGGTTCAGATGGGCCTGAGTTTAAAGTCTAGCTCTGCGATGGCTGCAAAGAGATCCATAAGTGTTAAACCTGCTTGGCTGCTAACCGAATGGGGTGGGGGTGGGGGGTCCAAGTCCACGCAGAGAGGTCCCTTGGAAGAAAGGTCTGGTGGTCTATTTCCCAAACGCTGCCCTTGAAAACACGACAGAGCACGGTTCGACTCCCATCCACACAGGGTCGCCTGAGTTTGAATCGATCCGACCGAAGCAGGCTATACCGAGCCCGAGTTCAGAATTAGATGGGTGGCTTCATCCGGGACGCTGGCTCTCGGATGACAGTCGGAACCACCCAGAGAAGCCACGGATGAAAGTGCTTCCACAAGGTGACCATCCTGAAAACCCTATGGGGCATATCTAATCTGCATGCCAGGGGTCACCAGGACGACTGGCTTAATTCTATGCTTAGTAGTAATTAGGATTAAAAGGTATCCTCTATGGAGAGGCCAGCCTAAGAGTAAACCCCACAGAACAGAAAGATGAGCTTCAGGAAGGCTCTGTGCAAACAGGCCGCCGGAATGTGTGGGCAGGCCGTGGCCTCTGGCCCATTTCCGCATGGATAACCCCGGTAGATCAGGCGCCACCAGGGAGCATCTAGCCCAGGAGCTGCCCGAGCAGGCAGCCCTTTGGCCTCACCTGTACGTGAACAAAGCCGTTCTGCCAGGTTGTTTTTGGTTTGTTTTTTTGCTGTTGCTTAAGCTGTCTTTGGAGCCAAGATCCTCTGACTCAAAGCCACTGGGTCCCAGGCCCTGGATGCTCCTGCGGCTATAATGTTCTCTGCTTCTATGACGTGTGTGGACTAGCTGGTGGGGCCAGTAGGCTCACCAGGTGCACTGTGGGTCACAGCTAAGAGAACCGAAGGCCAAGGGCCCCTGGGACTCCAGTCAGAAAGATGGGTTGGATCAGCACACTGCTTGATCACGTCTGATTCGAATCTAGTCCATCGTGGATTTCTTAAAACATTTCGCTTAAAAAATACAGTTTTCCACGCTCCTGACTAGGGCAGTGCTATGCAGAGTGGTGGGTGGTGAGCTGGCTTGCATGTGAGTCAATCACATGGGAGGGTGGGTGGATGGGTGGGGGTGTTCAGGCCCTTCTACTTACTGCAGCTGGAACACAGGTGCAAGGGGTTTTCCCGAATGATGATGGAAAACCTTCCGCTGTGGATCCTGCGGTGGCCTCGTCTCTCCATCTTTTGCCTCCTGCAAAAGGCGTGCACAACCCCATCAATGGTTAGCATCCTTCTAATAACAGGGAGGGGACGTTGTTGGTAAACCAGAAATGTAGCTGATACCAAGGGCTCAAGTAGAAAGAAAATGTTTTGAGAACGATGATGGCAACAAATGTACAAATATGCTTGACACGATGGATGGACGGATGGATTGTGATTAGAGTTGTACAAACCCCCAATAACGCCGCCCCCCCCCCCCGAAATGTAAGGTTTCTTATGTCACAGCCCAGATAATGTAGGAGTGGTGGGTCATTCTCAACCCAGAAATCACCACCCTCCCCACCTGCCTGTTTTAGGGCCACCCCAGAAGAAATGAAACCCAGGACAGTTTGACCCAATGAGAACATTTACATATGTTTACATATGTCTAAATATGTTTTAGAATGTCTAATTCTGGAGCCAATGAGTATGACTAAACCTTAAACCAAAACTCTCCATTGAATTTATCTTTAAACCAAATGAGATTTTAGCCTTACTAGAAAAATAATGTCTGCCATGAGCATTCTGATTTTTAAAAAAATGAGATCATATTGACAATGGCAACGTGAAAGGTTAGATAGGCAGCTGACTGGGCAGTGATGAGTCTATATTGCTGTTGGTGAAACAATTTAAGAAAGGATTTATCTGGCACAACTTCAGAATTGTACATGTAGAAATTGTTGAGTTGATGTATATTGTGTTGTAGATATCTTAACACAAAATAGAAATGAGTAAGCAAATCAATAACTCTGTTTTGCTCAACAGAGGATAATGTCCAATCATCACACACGTACACAATTGACATTTCAAAGTAGGAGATTGTTAACTTTGGATTTTCCTTGCTGTTTCTCAAAGCTTCTACCTCGTATAATAGAGGTAGAAGCTTCGAAATATGTCAATGCCATGTCACGTGACCTTAGGTACTACCTGATTGTATTTAAATTTTAAAAATTTTAAGTCTAAGACCATGTGTTTGGCCCCGATGTCTGGGCGGCTCGAAGCTATGGGCACGTGACGTCGCACAAGGCCACCAGGGGGCACCAGAGAGGAGGGACTCCAGGCTCCCGGGTTGGCCGCTCCCCACCCCCTGCCTCCCTTCACAGAAACGGTAATTCTTCCAAAGGAATCCTAATTAAGAAGTCTTGCTCAGCCCCTGAAAGACCGCAATCGCCCCGGGGAGAGTTGCTCACTCTGCATTTGGAGGGCTCTGTGCCCGCGCCATCCCGGCCCGGCCGGCCCGGGAGCAGGGACCAGACTGGCTGCTCCGGGATGAGCAGGAGGCTTTGCTGAGCAAATGCAAAGCCATCATCCGGCTTGCGGCCCTGGGGCCCAGGGGGGTGCAGGCTCGGACTTCGTGGCGTCAGGGGCTGTCAAGCCTGGCCACGTCCCTCTTGGAAAAACATGCTCTCCTTCTGAGTCATATATTTTCTCACCTCATTTTCGGTCTCCACCCTCCCCATTCAGGGCATTTGAACATCTGCTCCCCAAAGTGGAAACCTTGGATCTCACTCAAGGGAATTCAGTCCAACGCATGACTTTCCCGCCCCACCCCCTGATTCTTTGCAACTCCTCTGTGCATAAAAATCTTTTCACTAAACCAAATGTTCAAGGAAAGTTCTATTCCAAAAGGCTTTTTTTAAAAAACAAAGTAGGTAAAATGCAATCTTAAATCCAAAGCTTCACACCAGAAATAAGAGGGATAAAAGTTTTACATTTAACATGTATATTAATTTATCTGCATGCAAAAACACACACATAAGCAGCAGCTTGCAAATAATTCAGTAGTTACTTTGGCAAGCAGCTTAAGGAATGTGTTCTACCTGAGAGATCTATAATATTCTGAAAGATTACGGCTTGTGAAGCGTAAAAGGTTTATGGCCCTCCTTTAATGGTACCTATTGGGGCTGCTAACTGCCAGGCCAGCAGTTTGAAACCACCTGCTACTCCTCAGGAGAAAGAAGGGGCTTTCTACTTCCATACAAGGTTACAGTCTCGGAAACCCACAACAGCAGTTGGCCCTGTTCTATAGGGTCGCTACCAGTCAGCATCGGCTCATGGCAGTGAATTCATTTGTGTATGTGTGTGTGTGTGTGTGTGTGTGTGTGTGAATTAATGAAGTCCCTGGGTGGTGCAAATAGTTCCTGTATTCTGCTGCCAGCCCCAAGTTGAAGGTTTGAGACCACTCAGAAAAAGCAAGCACTGAAAAACCTACTCTCGAACATGTGGATTACCGTAAGTTGCAATCAACTCGACCACAAACTGGCCTTCACTAATTAACAATTTATCGGGGATGATGTACAACAAGAGTCCATTGTCTAAAACATGTCTCCTCATCACTCCCCAGCAGCAGGATTCAACGTGAGGTCTGGTTTACACTTGGTTGTGTTTTTCTTTCTATCTTGTAAATGACACTCTCCGTGCCTGGAATCAAACCCACCCCTGGACTTGATGGCAGCTTAACAATCAAACCTACGGCCATCAAGGTGATTCGTTGTGTGAGCAGAGAGCCTCATCTTTCTCCCAGAGAATGGCTGGTGGGTTTGAACTACAGACCTTACCATTCACAGTCCAACGCTTGCCCGACAATTCCCAGGGCTCCCTTTCGGCATGCATCGGGCAGGCTTATAAAGCCAGCAGTAACATTCATGAGGAACTCATTTCTCAGAATCATCAAGGATAAGAGACCTAAAGAGCTGGATTTTCCAGAACACAGCTCAGAAGGCGGGAAAGGAGGAGGTCAGGAAAGGGGAACCCAGGGAGGAAGTGGGAAGGTGCTGTTACATGGAGGGGTTGCAACTGATGTTACAAAATGAAATGGGTATCAAATTATTGAACGGAAAACTAATCCGTTCTGTAAGCTTTCACCCAAACCACAATACAAAGAAAAAAGGGTTGGGGTTTAGGGGGTGAGAATTTAATCTAAGACAAATCTCCTTGTTTTGGTATTCGAGACCCCAAACCTAAAAAAAAAGTTAATTATCTAGATTTTGCTTCAATAAATAAAAACAGGCCTGGGATGGCCAGGGAATGAGACTCGCCAGCGCCCCCTGTTAAGTAAAGGTGATGATGGACATCTTGGTTCGAAGCAATGATCTACCCAGGTGACACAGTGTGATTTTTAGTACAAACATCAGGCTGTTTCCTTGTTCAGGGTGAGGAAACCCACCAAAGGCCTAGGACAAACACCCATGCCTGTACTATAATGCTTTCTAACAGGAAACATCCGTGTTTCGCATCTTTCCATCTGCTTCTATGTATTAGAATCCGTTTCATGATGACTAAACAGGTCTTGCTCTTGACCTTGACCCTGCAAAGGTAACTTGGCCAAGCTCTGGACAAGTCCACAATGCCCTGTGAGCTTAGAGGTGGCGCACCTCTGGCTAACTCATAGATTCTCATACTTGATTGGCCTACTGTCCCCTTGTCTGAAGAAAAAAAAATTTGCGACAATTAAAAACTTTTGTATCGCCCATAATCTGGGATAAAGTCTAGGTATCTGCTTTTGCAGCCCCCTTGAATTGTTCCAGAGCCCTCCAGGGGGCAGTATTGTCGACTGTGGGGCAGGGGAAAGCAGTTGCGGTTGAGTTGATCCAACTCGCAGAGATCCCGGTGTCAGCGTAGGGCTTTACTCCGCGATTTTTTGGAAATCGATTGCCAGACCTTTCTTTCGAGGTGCCTCAAGGAGGGACTCAAACCCCCCGCCGTTCAGTCTGCAACCGAGCATATTCGCTGTTTGTCCCACCCGGGGGCTGCAGAGTGAGAGAAGTTCGAAATACATCTGAATTCCCACGTGCGAATGGGTGGTCCGGTGAGGGTTGCGAAAGCACGAAGCATTTACACCTATAGTTCTTGGAAGATGTCTTGCTTAGGAACGGGCAGAGGGATTGAGGTGTGTTCCCAGGACGACGCAGGGACGGGGCTGGGGGACCCCACGGGAAGATTTTTGTTCATCCTGAGGAGTGCCGGTCTGGGGTGGGGGGTCTGGGAGCTAATATACCAACCCCCAAACCCAAACTCGCGGACAGTGGATTCCGACTCACAGCGCCACTGTAAACTGGGCAGGACTGCCCGGGGGGTGGGGGTGTATCAGACTGTAACTCTTTACTCTTTGCAGGAGTAGAAAGTCCCACGTTTCTCCCAAGGAACGGCTGGTGGTCTTGAACGATCAATTTTCCCATTCAGCAGCCAGTGCACCCTCATCTGGGCACCGTGAGCCTCCACGCGCATCCCCCGCATCTGCCCCCCCCCCAACTCGGGCTTTCTGCAGGGTTTCAGCCCCCGTTCCTTCCCCCGCAGACGAGGCTGACTCCGAAGGTGGGGCTGAGGCTTGTGAATGATTAACAACTGCCCTGGTGGGCTGGGTGCTCGACCCCGCAGAGGGATTTGTCGGTGGGGACCCAGGCCGGGGTCAGCGCCGAGCCCAGAGAGCGTGATTCTATCATCCCCGGGCCAGCGGTGTCTGGCACCCGTTCAAGCCCACCCTCCCTGGAGTCAGGATCCCAGGACCGACTCCCCGCACCCCGGGGAGGGAGGTGGCGGGCGGCGAGAGCGCTCACCGTTCAAGGGCCCGGTGACAGAAGGCACAGCTGGGGCTTGGCGGCGCCGCCGGGGTGGTTTCCGCGCGCTCCTGCCCTCCTGCGGCGCGGCTGGGCTCCTCCTGCACCCAAGCACAGAGACGGGGTGGGACCCCGGAAGTGAGTCAGCCCCGCCGCCCTGCGCCCCACTCGCCCAGCTGCGGGACATTCAGCACCCCAGGTCCTCCACGGCGGGGAAACTGAGGCCCGGGCCCCCTGCAGGGAGAGCTAGCTAGCTAGCTTCTCAGACCTCCATGGGACCTGGCTTCTGAGTGACCTGGGCTTGTAGGACAGAAGCTCCAGCACCAGCCAAGCTGCCCTTCCTCTCCAAACGGATTCTTAAATCTGCTTTACGGATGAGGGAATTGTTCCCTTAAAAAAAAGGCCCCTAGTTTCCAGTTACTCTCAGCTCCACGAGGTAAGAGAGTTTAGAAGATGATTAACACTAGGTAGTAGAACTCGTTTCCATTCTCCCAACCGTGTATTCAGCCATGAACTAAAACAAGAGTCAGAGACAATCTAGAGGAAGAAATTATGGATTAGAACTCCTTTAGCACAAATATGTGTGTCTGTCTATCTATCTATCTATCTATCTACCTACCTACCTACCTATCTATCTGAACTGAAAGCACTGCCTCTATTCCACATGCATTTGTATTATCATCGGACCCTGTATGCGAGCTGAAAATAAGCATCTTTTCCCCACTGTCATAACCAAAGCTGAAGTCAGCGCCATTGTACAGATTGCTTTCCCCGTATTTTGGATTACTTCCTCTGGGAAATGTCTGGGTCAAAGGTTGTAAACGTGTTTGTGTGACCATCCACACTGCCAAACTACTTTCCACAAAGGTTCTTGGGATTACACAGCCACCAGCAATTCTGGGTGGG